GGCTCAAAGGAGCAGGGTGCCGGCCCCATATACTGGAGGTGGTGGGTTCAAACCTGGCCCTGGTAAAAAAATAAAAAAAGATTCTATTGGAAAAAATGCTCATCATCCCTAATTATTAGAGAAATGCAAATCAAAACCACTCTGAGATATCATTTAACTCCAGCAAGAATGGCCCACATCTCAAAACTGCAGATGCTGGTGTGGATGTGGAGAGAAGGGAACATTTTTACACTGTTGGTGGGACTGCAAATTAATACAACCTTTTTGGAAGGAAGTATGAGGAACCCCCCAGAGAACTCAAGCTAGACCTCCCATATGATCCTGAAATCCCATCACTGGGCGTCTGCCCAGAAGGAAAACTATCCTTTTGCCATAAGAACACTTGCACTAGACTATTTAACATAGCTCAATTTATAATCACCAAAATATGGAAACAGCCTAATTGCCCACCAACCCAGGAATGGTTTAACAAGCTATGTTATATGTATACCATGAAATACTGTTCAGCCACTAAAAACAATGGAGACTTTACATCCTTTGCATTAACCTGGATGGAAGTGGCACACATTATTCTTAGTAAAACATCACAAGAATGGAGAAGCAAGAATCCTATGTACTCAACTCTCATATGAGGACAGTTGATGACCTAGTACATGGGGGGTGTGGAAGGGGAGAGCAGAGAGAGAAAAGGAGGGAAGGGGGTGTGGGAAGGGGAGAGCAGAAAGAGGGAAGGAGGGGAGGTGGGAGAAGGGAAGCACATAGAAGGAAGGAGGGAGGGAGTGGGGGAAGGGAAGAAGAGAGAGAGGGAAGGAGGAAGAGACTGAAGGGTGACAGTGTGTGACACACTTTTGGGGGGTGGGACACAATTATAAGAGGGACTTTACCTAACAAATGCAATCAATGTGACCTGGTTCTTTGTACCCTCAATGAATCCCCAGCAATTAAAAAAATATATATATATCCTATTTGACTGCCATGTGTTTTCCTTGCAATTTGTTGTGGTTGTGGAATATCTTCTCAGTTTTTCACTTATCTATTCCCCTATCAGCCCTTTGAGGGTAACTCGGAGTAAATAAGAAAGGTGTTTTAATTTTTTTTCGAACAGTATTCACCCCCTCGTGCTTTGCTGTTGACAGAAGCCTACTGACCTAGTAACCAGAGGTCACTGATGTCTGACACGGGGTCACTACCACTCTACCCCGCTGGATGCGGTGCAGCAAGCTTTCTCAGACCCTCTTGATCTTACCCATTTCATGTCTATGTGAATGGTAACTATAATCCTTGGAATTTCTAGCAGTTGATCATTTCTTAAATATGTAAATAAATAGGACTTGATTTCCATAGTGTTTTAAAATCTTCATAAATAAATTCACACATTTTGTTTTTTGACCTGGTGTCTTGATTGTTATTTCAGAAGACATGACCCATCCTTTAAAAAAAAACCCTAAAATCACCAAGGTAATGGTGTAGCAAGTGCAGGACCTTAGTAAATCAACTAATCACCACCGTCTTCAAACTAATCCTCTATAAAAATTAGTTTAATATTTATTCAAAGTCTAAAGAGGAATACGTTTTCAATTAGTGAAAAAAATTATATACAATAGAAGATTTCTCCCAGATATTCTGGAATATATGAGAAATGATATATGATAGAGATGAATTGGAACATTGGTTATAACGTCAAATTTTATAAGTAACTAAAATGACTGTCAATGGTAGTTTATATCCACTTACTGTTCAACTACACAATGTATAATAATATCAGGTCAGCCATCTAAAAAACATGAAATTCTGCATTTATGATATGGAAAAATTTCCAAGGCATTTAAGGAGAAAATATACAAAGTTCAGAACAACATGTATAACATGTTACCATATATGGGGAAAAATGTTTCAGTGGATAACTTTAGAAATGCAAGAATATCTCTTGACATTTATTAAAATTAGGTGTCTTTGAGGAATCGGATGGTAGCAGAGGCATAAGGAAAACAAAGAAGCCTCTCGTTATCCATCATATAGTGTGTTTTCATCCTATGTACATCAACTCTTATTTCACAATTCACAAACATTATAAATAGAGCAACATAAGGAATGTGTCACATATTTTGTTACATGTTATTTCCAATATCACACAGTTCTTTGGAGGTACTTCTAAGATTTAGGCATTCATACATGACTCCTTCCTAGTCAAATGGACTTGACGCCCATGATTAGTTTTCAGAAATTCTCCTGACATTGCTGACTTTGTATGACTACATACTAGCAAACTTTGAGAATATGGTTCTCTGGATCGAGAGTATGTATCTGTGAAGACTGTTTATTTTTTAAATCAGTTTCCATTCAAGGTACTTTCTACTTCGATGGTTATTTAGGAAGTTGAATGAGAAAACCTGAATTAACTGGCACCGTATTTCTGATTTATTCCAGTAAGGTTTATTGACATTTCTGACTGGAGCTCTGGGAACCTGCCCGTCTAAGCTGCTTCTTAATCCTACTGTGGTTTCACACCAATGTAAGAGTTTTGCTAATGTTGTATTACTTAAAACTAAGTAAAAATAAAACGAGAGTCTAAAATCTTATTCCAATTTCATCCCAGACAGAAATTCGAACATGTGGAACCCTTAATGAGGGGAGCAACTGTTTTTAGATCCATTGACTACCTAAAATATCTTTTTAAAGATGGCATTTATACGAAAAAAATGTAAATAACTCAAGGAGCATTAAGAGATGCTAAGAGAATTTATAAAAGAAAAGAAGTAGAGTTGATTTCTTCAAACCCTTTACAGTTTTGGTTAATTATATTATGCTATCTTTCCAAGTTAATTTTATTTTAGTTTAATGATACTTGTTGTAAGTATGATAATGATAATAAAAATTATCCTACTATAGAAAAAAATACTTCAGGGGTTATGACCAAAGATCTTCCTTCAAGTTTTTTTTTGTTTGTTTGTTTTCCTTCTAGTTTTAAATAGATTTTCTCTTCTGTTTATATACTTCTTTGTGTGTACATCTGTGCTTATGGTAAATAGAGGCTCTGGCTTTGTTACAAACGAAATCAGGTTTTTTTTCCAGTTATCCAAATAGTTTGTATATGAATTACTTAAGAAATTTTTATCAGTAAGATTTGAGCTTCCTTGAGAAAATCTTTGTATATATTTTTTTCCCAGAAAATGGAGCCAAATTACTGAAACACTTCTAAAATTTTTCAAACTGAAGTTTAATTGGGGAGAAATACACCAACTCTGTGTTGTTTAATGTTTTATTTGGGGATTCTGTTTTCCCAGGAGTATCCACTAATCTTATATTTTGAAAGCTGTAATATGATTCACGTTTTATAAAAAATTTAGTCCTATTGTTCACCTGTGGAAAGTACAGGTGGGCAGAGTAGCTTCAAGTAGATAAACCTGACAGGCAATACCTTAGCCAGGCGATCAAGGTCAACATTTACGGCGATAGGTAATGTTGATAGTATGTGCACTTGATACATGTGATAAAAATGACACTTTGCCTCTGAAGTGTCCCTCCCCCAAACACAGAGCTCTGGTTTAATCATGAGAAAAATAACAGACAAATCTTAGTTGAAGGAAATTAAAATAGAAATATAAAATACCTGACTGATGCTCCTCAAAAGTGTCAAGATCATCAAAACCAAAAAATGTCAGAGGAGCTATCACAGCAAAGAGAAGATTTAGGGCACAACAACTACAGTTGACCTTTGAACACTGCACAGGTCCACTTACACATGGGTTTTCTTCCACTACTGGCACCCATGAGACAGAGGGCCAGGACCGACCCCTCCCCTTCTTCCTCCTCCTCAGCCTACTCGATATAAAGACGAAAATGATGAAGACCTTTATAATGATCCACTTCTACTTAAGGAGGAGTACATATATTTACTCTTCCTTATGATCTTCCTAATGACATTTTCTTCTTGCTTGTTTAAGAATACAGCACTTAACATGTATAGCATGCAAAATATCATTAATCAACAGATTAAGTGATTGGTAAGTTTCTAGCTGATAGTAGGCTATTCATAGTTAAGTTTGGGGGGGGGAGTTGAAAGTTACACTTAAATTTTCATCTGCACGGGTGGCGGGCATTCCTCACCTCCATGGTTCAGGGGTCAACCATAAATATAATGAAATATTGTGAATAAAATCTTGGAACAGGAAGAAAAGGACATTATATTTTTTAACTAAGACCATTTAAATAAAATAAGGACTTTAATTTCAATATTGGTTCATTGGTTACAGCACATGCCACACTAATGTAGGATGTTAATAGTAGGGGAGATGGTACAGAGTATATGGGAATCATCTGTGTCATCTTAATATTTTCAGTGCTAGAACTATTCTAACAAATTAATGTTTGTTTTAAAAAATAGTTCAGCAGGGCTCTTAAAATTTTCTTATCTTTTACATCTAGCTGGAGAAAATGAATACTACTAATAGACCTGTCGCCATTGTTTAGCACACGGTCTACTAAAAGGCATTTAGTAATACTGTTTTTAAGTTGGGATAAATATGACCGGGAAAAGTTAATACCATGCATGTTCATAGACTTCTGTCTTTTTCCTCCATACCCAACACTTCATGGAAGGGCGAAGAAAGGATAAGAGTCTGAGCAGATGTGTTCTTACTGCAGAGGAAGTCAGAGCTAGAGGGGAGCAGGGCTCTTCAGGACCTGCTCATGGCGAGGACATTGTTGTGTGCAGGCAAGTGTGTATGTGTGTGTTGGGGGGCTGGCTATGCACGGTTTGAAGGTTTTCTGCAGTTAAAGGCAACACGGTGAAGACTTGAGCAATCAGAATGGCAAGGAGGAGAGATGGACTCTTAAGGTGAAGGAGAGTGAGTAGCTCCCAGGAATTTCAGAGACCAAAGAAATGAAGAAAGAGAGATGAGAGTAAATACTGGAATAGTGTTAGGCTGGTGGGCCTGTTCTTTAAATGCAGTCTGCTCTGGCCCCGGATGATGTGGGTTTATGTGTTTCTAAGCACCGTGGTGCTCACTTGAGCAGCACATATACTAAAATTGGAATGATACAGAGATTAGCATGGCCCCTGTGCAAGGATAATGGACAAATTCATGAAGTGATCCATATATAAAACATAAGTGTTCTAATTACATTACATATATTATACATATTATATATATACATACCTATGTATTTTTGTTTTAAAATGTTAAACCAGACTTGCATCTTCAGAATAAATCTTACCTAGTATATAACTCTGTTTACATATTTGTGGGTTCAAATGGCTAATATTTGTAAAGGAGTTGCAATATACTGGTCTGTAGTTTTCCTTTCTATAATATCTTTGGTTTTTGTATTAGGGTAATGCTGGCCTCATAGAATGAGTTAGAAAGTATTTACTCTGTTTTTATATTCTGAAAGCGATTTTAAAAATGCATGTAATTTCTCCACTTTTGTTACAGTATACTCAACCACTAGCATTATTATTTTTTTCTAGAATTTTCATTTTTTTCTTATGTTATCCATCTGTTATTACATATTGTTACTTTTCCCTAAATCCTATAGCGTATTAATCACAGTTTTTTAGCATTCTTGGTCAGATAATTCCAACATTCCTATTCTATCTGACTCTGATTCTGGTATTTATGTAGTGTCTTCAAACTAGGTTTTTTGCCTTTTAGTATACCTTATAATTTTTTTCTTGAAAGGTGGACATGATGTACTCCGCAAAAGAAACTGCTTTTGATAGGACTTTAGTAATGTAGTGGTAATGTTTGTAGGGAGGAGAAGTCTTATATGTTCCTGTAATTAGGCATCAGTGTTTTGGTGAGCTTGTGCTACTAGACTGCAAATTTCACTAGTACTTTGCAATTTCTTCCCCTCTTTGGTGAGACAAGATGGCCGGAGCTGACTGGAGCTGGGCATTCCCCTTCCCTGGTTAGCTTAGGCTCCCGTAAAACGTATTAGGCTCTTGAGAAATGGTTTCTCCCAATGGTGGGACTTGTTCAGAACAGACTACTCTGGTACCTTTCAGAATGGTTGCTTCTCCCCTCCCTCTGCTGGAAGCACTAGGAAATTTTTATCCAGCATTCTTTATGAGAACCTGGTAGAACTCCTATGATACAGGACAGGTGTCCTCCCAGCCAGCTCAGCTGAGCTGGGCTGGAGGACCCGCTGCCTCTGCCTTAGTGGTATTGGTGCAGCAGTAGCCAGCAGAGGAACCAGTGGGTTGGAGCATAGGCAAGTCGGGGGAGCCTCCTCCCCCACCAGAGGCTCCAAGCCAAATGGACCCCACAATTGCTGGGGAGACACCAGCACCTTGGTGTCTCCTTCCCCTTTACACTTATGACTAAATAAGGAACCCCCATTTCCTATGCCTAGGTCAATTTCATGTAAGTTTCCTAGGCCTCGGTTCCGTGAATGGACTGTGTCCATTCATTAGTATATTCATTCACCTTACCCCAGCAAAAGAGACTGTGTCCATTCATTAGTACATTCATTCACCTTACCCCAGCAGAAGGGACTATGTCCATTCATTAGTACATTCATTCACCTTGCCCCAGCAGAAGAGACTGTGTCCATTCATTAGTACATTCATTCACCTTGCCCCAGCAGAAGAGACTGTGTCCATTCATTAGTACATTCATTCACCTTGCCCTAGCAAAAGGGACTATGTCCATTCATTAGTACATTCATTCACCTTACCCCAGGAGAAGAGACTGTGTCCGTTCATTAGTACATTCATTCACCTTGCCCCAGTGGAAGAGACTGTGACCATTCATTTCCTGGCCTCTTATAGAAGGAACACATGCACCTATATATACTGCTAAACGGAGAGAGACAGAGGGAAAAACGGAGAGAGATTTTTCTCTCCCGCCTTGGGTTTTCTCTCCCTACCAGAAACTTAAGTGTTTTTGTATTCTTTTTCTGTAAATAAATTCTGTCTTGCCACTGATCTGTGGTCCATGGATTTATTCTTCAAATCACCAAGACCAAGAACCTGAAAGTCCAGTATCACCTAGAGGTAACAGTCTATGGACTGTGGGGGTCACCCATGATGGGTCTCCCTAGAGTTCCCAACTTCAGACTTGTCCACACTTAGCCTCCAGCAGTTCATCAATTACAGTTCAGATTTTCCTCCTTGGGTACTGGTTCTCTTGTAAGTTGTGATTCTCTGTCTCTCTGTTTCTCCAATTGTGGGGGCAGCAGTTTGCCCTGTGACCTCACTCCTCTGAAGGCGCAAAGAAAAATTATTGATTTTTCAGTTTGTTCAGGTTTGACTTGTAATAGAGTAGTGACTTTTAAGTTCCTTCCATGTCCACGACCAGGAATCAGAAGCCACTTTGACCCTTGTAAAAATCCTCGCATTCATCCACAGTATGTGTGTAGTCCCATCAGTTTTGGCTACTGCCAGCATATAGTAGCCTAGGTTTAGATTTCCTTATTTTAAAAAACTTGGATAATTAGGGATATTTTTGTTACGTCCTGGTACATCTGGTTCTCACTCCATCCTACAAACTAAAACTGTCAAAGCCTGATTGTCAGTGTCTGAGACAGCAGAGGTTTGACTGTAACGCATGACTCTGCCTTGACTGTCCCTCCCAATAAACAATTGCTCACTGTGGGCCGAGGGTCCCCACCCAAGGTGAATGACTCAGTTGCAATTTCAAAAATATCAAAAACAAGCACAGAATATTTGTGCAAAGAGATAGAACAATAAAGCCTACTCTAACCAAGTCATGCCTCATTTAATTCCTTGCTGAATGGCATGGAGCCGTATCCTAAGAGCAATAAACATCACTATTGCTGTAAGCACTGGAGATACTGTTCTGTATTGCGTTTTTGCCTTTATTACCTCTGTGTATTCTCTCCCCCTACAGAGTTTGTCCTAGCACTGTCAGCCTGTGCGATTATTTTTTCTATGGACATTTAGTGGTTTGCTTAGTTTCAGCTTGTCTCCGGCAGAAGATGTAATAACAACACCTCTTTTATTCTGGATTTCAGTGTTCACCACTGAATTTCTGAATCATAGCATCTCTGGAGTTTCATCTTGATAGTTTCAAACATATTTGATGAATTGTGAAAGAGAGAGCAAGAGAGTCATTTAGAGTCAAGTTAGTCAGAGAAAGCAACTTTGGAGATGGCTCGTACCTAGAGGGTCCACCTTCCTTCAACTCATCTTGGCAAATCTCTTCAATGCCCTCTGGACTTGGTTCCAACTTCACCTCCTCTGCAGGAAGATACCTAACTTTCCCTGTGAATGACCCCTCCGCTCTGGCGGAGGGGTCTCTGCTTATGACATAGCGTGGTTTACCTGCGCACTCCTGCTCTTCCCCGTGTGCCGTGAATGAGGTGAGAACAGGAGCCATCTTTGAGCCTATCCCTCCCATAATATATGTCATTTATTCATTTCAGAAGATTTTAATAGTTGATAAAATCTTATGTTTTATGTAAGTTCCAAGTACATTATATATGTTTCAAGCAAGACCATCGGCACCCTGGGCACTTATCAAATCCCCGCCCCGTGTGGGAGCCTTCTTTCCGTGTCTTCTTTGGCTCTGGGAACATGACACAGGATCAGATGCTACAATTCCCTGGATTGGAAGAAGATGGATGGCAGTATTTCAGATGAACTCTTCCTTAGTAATCTTCCTGCTCATCATCAAAAAAAGCACTAATTATTTTACTTGCACTTTGCTCAGATAAACTAAATTGTGTATGATTTTAGATAGCTAAACTATGCATACAATTGTTAGCTCCTGGAGGGCAGGGAGGGTTCCAGTTTATCTTGCCTTACAGAGTACATTAAACAGTACAAAGTATCACAGCAGTTTTTTTTTTTTTTAATATTCTTTTATGATAGGGCTGAATCATGGGGCTGAGGAATTGCTGTGAGCAAGTAATGCTTTGCAGCTCAGAAAGCACAAGGCGGAGTTGAGGCAGGGAGTCTCTTAGTGCCCTGCACACTCTCCACGCCAAACTCTCTCCCACCTCAGCTCCTTCTTTGTGATTTGACCAGAGGAGAAAGTTGATAGCATTCTCTTGCACATTTTCATTGGCAGTTAAGTGCAGTAAATGCCGTGAAGACCCACTCTTAGGCCTGCAGGCCAGACGGAGCCCAACCTATCCTGCTAGTGGCTAAGTATTCAGATAAGAAAAAATGATTTGGGTCATTGTAAATTCTCAAGTCGAATGCATTTAGGCAAATAAAGGCAGTTTCTTTTTGCTAAAAAAAGCTATATATATATATATTTTTTAATTGACCCATTCAGGTAATTGTCTAATTATGTTCTGCCTTTGTGGGCAGCTTTTGAGTTTTTCCTCTTTGCCTATTTGTTGATGATGTGGCTGTAAGTCTCTTGCAAGACCTTGGCCCCTGGCTTGCAGTTAACTCCTCCCTTGGGCCTGACATCCTGTGTGACTCCACCTGGCAGCCTCGCCTCATAGTTCCTTGCCTGCCTCACCTTGGAGAACTTCCCCCTAACCATGGCCACACCCAGACCTTGTCACCTCCAGATTGGGCCAATTCTCAAATAAAGTAGTCAGAGTCATTCTTACCTACATGTTCCCGACTCTCTCACTCACTTGATTGCTCCCAACACACCAGTTCTTTGAATTTTTTGGTATCTTCAGTTGATAAAGCCCCTTGTCCCTCTCCCCTAACTTTACTCAGCCCCTGTCCATGGTGTAACTTCATCCCTTTGTTTAGTGGTTTTCTAAAACCTCTTACTCTGTGGTCTTTCCACCACTCCCTTCCAAACCTCAATAAATCCAACTGCTACATTCTCTGCATTGACATCCTGCTCCTTGCCATTTCAGGAGAAAAATCACACAGTTGTCAGGATTGGTCCATCTTATACCGACATGTCTAATTTTTGGACGGGTGTGGCACTGGTAACTCCCTAATGGCACGATTGTACTTTTCCTGGTTAACATGTAACCTTTCCACATAGCATTTCAGCAATAGCTATACATCTCCAACATCTAACATCTCCTTAGATCTGGTTTTTCCACCTCACTGTTTATTTTTAATCTCTCTTAATGTCACTGGCAGAGGCATGTCAATGAGGTGAGGACTCCTTTGTTTCTGATTCCTCCCTTCCCTTGTTATTTCTCTCCCAAGTTTTTGTT